GGGAAAGGGAAGAAAGGAGGACGAAGACGACGATGGAGCAGGAAAATATGGAGGAGTGGAAGGGAGCAAAGGGTTTGAGCCAGATGACCTTCCCCACAACACGAAACGTAGGACAAGGGAAGAACTGCCCAGGGATTCTTCTTGTCAAAATGAGGATCNTCGCCACCGCCTCTCCATCAGCAGCCCTCTGCTGCTGCCTCTGATGCTCCGAGATCTGCTCGCGTGCGATCGCTGCTTGCGCCCGTTGCTCCGCCTCGATTCTACGTCGCTGCTCCTCCCCAGACTCCTTCTTCAGATCGGCGCGCAGGACTCGCTCTCGCGCCAACAGTTGTCGCTCCTCGGCCTGCTCCGCCGATTTGCGGACTGGAGCCGCTCTACGCTTCGCCAACTGAGCTTTTTTGAGTTTCTCGAGGGTAGCAGCGGCCGTACGCTTCAGGGTAGGGTAGTCGGCCTTCTCGGCAGCCTTGCGTGCGCGCCCAGCCGTCGCTGCGTCCGCAAACGTGCATCCTCCTCTCTCGAGAAGAGAAGTCGTGAAGTTTTTGAAGATTTTTTGTTTGGACTTGAAGCGACCCTTGTTTTTACCACAGCCCTTAGCCATAGGAGGTGATCTGGTAATCAATGCCACTCGTCGGCTTCTAGGTCAATCGGGGATCGTTTTTTTTAGCTGTGTGCGCAGAAACCAGAGCTAGAGAAGTAGCGAAGGCGATTTTTGACCCTCGTCTCGGTATTCGCGCCAGCTGCGTCAACAGCCGAAATTTCCGTCGTTTCAGGATTTTTCAACCACCAAACGGAAATCGGTTTCGCTACTGCTCTAGCTATAGCATAATTACAGGTGATTGTAGATTGAGAAGAGCCATCTCCTCGCCGTCTTCGCGCATTTTTGATTGCCAGTTTCTAGTCTTTGCTCAAGTAGGTAGGACTGCTGTCTGTGTGCCCCCTTCAAACAAAACNGTCTCGGTATTCGCGCCAGCTGCGTCAACAGCCGAAATTTCCGTCGTTTCAGGATTTTTCAACCACCAAACGGAAATCGGTTTCGCTACTGCTCTAGCTATAGCATAATTACAGGTGATTGTAGATTGAGAAGAGCCATCTCCTCGCCGTCTTCGCGCATTTTTGATTGCCAGTTTCTAGTCTTTGCTCAAGTAGGTAGGACTGCTGTCTGTGTGCCCCCTTCAAACAAAACAAAAACAAAATCTATTCGCAGCATGCCGTTTTTTGTTGCTCCGCAGGGGGGTAACCCCAGGGTCTAGCCTGTTTCTGTTATTGATCCGAAGGATAGTTTAGCCTCCCCCATGCTGCACCCTCACGGGGTCCCAGTTAATGGTAGATACAAGTGTTTTGTGTTTTCAACCGCACTAAGACTGACGTCTTTTCATTGGTCAGCCGGTTAGCGCGGTCGATGCTAATAAAAAAAACACACACATACAGATCGTGGCCTTCCGAAGAATTTCGCGTTTTCAACCGCACTGAGGCTGAAGCCTTCTCATGGGTTAGTCAGCCGGTTAGCGCGGTCGATACTAATGATACAGGAGAGATGTTCGCCCACTTGGTCGCGCAGACACAAACACAACACACACACACACACACACACACACACTTGTTTGTTCAAGCGCACTGAGACTGGGGTCTTTTCATTGGCCAGCCGGTTAGGGCGGTCGATGCTAACAATAAACACACACACAAACCCGTACCTTGCTCTTCTGCCAGCCCTCGAAGAAAGGCATACCGTGGCCGACGCGGTCGAGCCACTTCCTCAGCTCCACCACCATTACGTCCGAGCTCTTGATGGGCAGAAACGACTCCGACAGGGTCTTGCCGGTCCTGGCTACGTGGTCCTCCTGGGCGCAAATCAGCTTCATGTCTTGCTCCAAGATCTGCCATCCATCATCACGCCGTCAGAGCAGAGCAACAGGGGGCGGGGAGAACGCACCAGCGGTTTGGGGACCCCACGTGTCGGAGGGGAGCAACAAGTCGCCGACACAACGAAAATGGAAATGAGCAACCGCAATGGATTGACACGCCGTAAGGATCATGCTAGGGGATACGGGCGCCGCAGATACAGGGCCGTGGGTAAAACGCACTTGGAAATGAACCAAGACGGTCACGTGTTGGGGTGGTCTTCGGAAATTTTGGAAACGTGCTCCGCAAGAAGGAGGACTCGCGCCACGACAGATGCGGGGGGGGGGGGGGGGGGGAAGGGTAAGGCGGCGGGTTCACACCAGTTCCATGAGTTCCTAGTGTTTAGTGGGATCGCACCTGCTCCTCGAGGATCGATCTCGGTAGTTTTCTCTCTACGGTGTTGCTACTTGGGAGAAATGAACACGGTAGTGCTTTGAAAAGAGTGCCTGGAGAGGCCTAGAACACGTCACCTATCCCTTTGGTCAGGGGGGGGGTTTCACGCACCTTGCACGAGTTGAGGTGCCGCAAAAACTTGGGCTTGAGACCGTAAATAAAGCCCACCATCGGAGGGAAGTTCATCGCGTATGTCTGGTGAGAAAACGAAGAGACGCAAGAAGCGTAGAGAGGAGCGGACAAGGACAAGGGGGTGAGGGGGCAGCAAAGACGGGCGGTGAAACACGCTGTTGGAGACAACGCGGGGCGAGCCATGATGGATGCTGGTGAACAACGCGGGAACAACGGGCGGCGGCGCCACGTGCCTGGCACACGCGATGACGACCACCATCGATTCTGGGCACCAGCAAGTAGCGAAGCAAAAGCTAGCAATCGCTACATTCTCAGCCGTGTTTGCCCCGATCCACGCATTGGCTGTTCAAATATCCATATCACTTATGCAAGAATCAAAACCTTTCAGCAGACAATTCAAACAGAACCCTGCAGACCGTACTACCGTTCTAACGGGTCGTCGTTGGGCACGCCGACGATGAGTAAATACCTTGAACAGGAGGCGCGATCGACCCTTCCCCAGCGGGATGCAGTGCAGAGCGGCACCGAAAAGAGGCTCGCCCTCCTTCTTGCCCTCGGAGCGTACGCGGATAACCCCCGGCGCTTGCATGCGGTAGCGCGTCGACGTCATTTTTTTGCGGCTGCCGAAGCCCCTCGACTTCACGATACACGAAAACCCGGTGGAGCTCGGCGCGTCCGGACCCTCCTCAATGATCTGTCCCACCAGAGGAACCATACAAGCAAATGTTTTGTTGTGGACGGTGCAAAACAAGGTTTTCGAATGTCCCATCTTTTCTCGCCATGAACGGTAGACACCTTTCTACCTGCCCCCAAACATATGGGAGAGCGTTGTATTACTGCACGTATTTCCAACCCCAGCACGGTTGCGAAAGAAGATTCCTACCCCGACCCCCCCCACCGGGCCGCCCGTCGTCGTGTGGTATATCACTAGCCAACGACGGGAGCACGTCTCTAACTAGATTTTCGGGATTTCGGTAAGGCCGGCACCTCGTTCTCCTCAACACTCCTTCGAAAAATGGGGGTACAGTGCTGTAATCGGGCGACCAAAAACAAGTCTTGCGACGCGGTTCTGTGACACGACTACCCATCTAAGGCGGTAGCGACAGCGACAATAGGGGGCTCCATCGACCTCGTAGACCCCACGACCGACCAGTAACAATACCAGGACAAGACAAAAAAAAGTCCCACTTTTCCAGCAATCGAACGGGATAAAAAAAACGGTCGTGCACCGCGCGGTTGGCGCGCCCCCCGCACTTCCGAACCCCGACTCTCAGCTGTCCAACTTACCTTCCTTCCCTACCTACGTACCTATAAGATGGATGCGACAAGGTGCGCATCAGCTGCGCACTGCGTTTATCAACGCGCATCAGAATTTCCTGACTCGCAAGCGCACAGCAGTGTCATTTGCACCACTACTGACCCGAGAAAGCGGAGAAACATTCTTGTTTCCAACCATGCAATGCATGCTCACATCGAAGTGGGTGGGGCTGGCGTTTTCTTTGTTGCCCCCGCCCTCGGTCTTGTCATGGCTAACCGGGATGTGGGCCGGGTCGAGCAAGCTGCCGGATCACAAGCAGCGCCCGGAACAGCGCAGGCAGCAGAAGCACGCGGACGTCGAGGATTGGGTGGGGGGGGGGACAAGGGGAAACTACAGTACTCGGAATGTTTGTGCGTGGAGCGCATCGTTGCGTACATTACTCTACAGTCTACCACTGCTGCACTGTAGGAAGTAAGAATACAATCACTTTTTACTGTTGCTGCGACGCAAATCTTCGCTCACGCCGTGAATATCATCAAGGAACTCACTTTTCGGTGAGGTAGCTCCAGTCGTACGGCAAGTCGCACACGAACTCGTACGTGAAGGCCGGCTGAGACGGCGTGGTGGAAACGTCGTTCCGTCCGATTCGCGTAACACCACACCGCCCACAACAATGACAGCGAAGCAACAAGCACGCCACGGGATACAAGATCAGAACCGAGGGGAGTCTTTTGACAACTCTGGATGACGCGCACGGGAATCGAATCACCACGAACAAGTCGGAGGCCAAATTCCAAACAGCAACTCGAGGCGAAGGAAACCGGAGATAGCAACCAATTGAACGCAAAATGTCCGGTAACGGCCGGTTCCAGCACGGACCAGGGTGCGGCTTTCAGCGGTAGGTGTGCAGCAGTGTGGCAGACAACAAGAAACCCTCGGCGGGCTGCCGTATTCGGGAACGGCTTCGGATTATTTCGGTCCCCATACGCCGCAAAGAAATTGATAACCCCGTGCTTGGTGTGTGGGTGCTTGCTGCTGTTGGAGTGGAGAAACAAGAGGCGGCGTTTGCGTAAACTTGCCCAGAAACTATTTCTTGCGGCCGTCTTGGTTTGGCGACGGCAGGCTAGGCGACGCTATTTTCGTCGCTTGGCAACGACGTTGTAAAACAAGCTCCCGACCCCCCCCCCGGTGTTTGCCATCGGGTTTGGGTTCTCGTCGCTTGGCAACGACGTTGTAAAACAAGCCGCCCCCCCCGGTGTTTGCCATTGGGATTGGGTTTTTGTCGCTTGGCAACGACGTTGTAAAACAAGCCAATTCATTTCGTGAACTCGGCAACCAGGTTACCGTGTTTTTTTCACCTCCGTTTTTTTTTTGGCGGTAACCATAATGGTGATCGAGTAGATCATGTTGTGTGGGGTCTAGAACCCTCACTCCGCGCAAGGGGGATGATCGCACCACGTCGTGTGAAAATGGTCAAGCACCCTCGAGGCAGTAACACAGTGCTTACAACTGTCAGGAAGTGAAAGCACCAGAAAATACATTAAGTCATACGCAGCTGTCATCCGTACGCAAGGAAGTAAGCACAAGATGCCGAACACCCTTAGCAGGATGCAGCGCACCCTTCATGCGACTCGCCGAATATCTCACGGCGCTTCGCGCTT